TTCGCGATTTTTTGTTCCAAAAAAATCCGCGAAATTCCCTTTTTGTCCCCTGCTCCGTTTACCATTAGCAAACTGCTTCTTGGTGGGCACAATAGTAAGTCCAGTCCCCTGTTTTTCTTGTGAACAGTCCCTCCAGCTGTTATAGCTACACTAGGGTAAGACTAGCAGGGTTGCGAAGAAGTCCCCTCTAGGAGGGTTTCCCGTTTATATCGTTACTACCCGCTCGAACTGAGGATTAAAGCTTAAGGTCAACCAGGGGTCCGCAAACCCGATAAATAAAATATCCAGGCAATGGCCGTAGGAAAACCGGGGCCACTTCAATCCTCCTTCCAGTGTAGGGGTTATTTTCCCCGCTCCAAAACCTGAGGGAGTGTTTGTCCGGGTGGGTGAAAGTGTGGATAAATAAAACCATTTTCAAACCTAATTTTCTAAATGTTTAAATAAGTAAAAAAATCCATTTTTTATGTTGTAAAAAATATGATACACAATTATAACTTTTTAGCTTATAGCATTTAATAAGTAAACCAAATAGTTCCTAAGGAAACTAGTGATACTTATAATGCCTATCTTTAAATGTGGATTAAAAACTTATAACTTTAAAAGTTTTTTGAGAATTAAGAGAAATTTTCTATAAAAAGCTTCCTTAAACCCCCCAGAACGGAGGCAGCAAATAGCAACCAATTGTTTTTGAAACCCGTCCCAAACCTTTGACCTCCCCTGGCCCTCATGTTTTGTCCCTTGTAGAGAAAAAATCAATAAATTAGTGGTCTTTAAGGATTATATTGGTTAATAGACCCAACCCAAAGAAAAACGGAAGTTATTAAAATGGTGTTTCGCTGCCTTTTAAACATATTAAAACCAGGAACGTAATAAAAATGTTTTTTTTTTAAATAAGAGAAACCCCTGGCCCCGTGGTCCCCCATTCTAACCAATTATGGGTTTTAATTTTGGGTCCCAAATTGATTGAAATTATTTTGGTTTTTTAAAAGTTTTTTTGACCGAAAAAGAAATAAATCCTCCGCTTTTTTGTACTTACTGCTCACAGGCCATAAAAATGGTCAACAAAAGGGAATTCACCCTTTTTGTCCCCTTTTCAGTTTGAACGGTTTTTTCGGTTTTCCCTGCTGAAACAAGGGGTCCCCGAAAAAACAAAGTGTTATTATAATTATGATATGAAAATAGCAATTTAAAAAAAAAAATGGACTAAACCATTAAAAATGACTACCCTTATCGGACCTTAAATTTTGGACCGGAAAATTACTTGAAACGCTGGAGGGCCCCTAGCGTTTTCAAACTTAATGGGCCCCCGTTCAAATAAAAGTCCCCGTTCCCCAATTAAAAGTCCGTCCCAAGTTAAAGTCCGTTGAAAAATTTTTTTCAAAAAATTTTTCCATTTCGAACTTTTTGTCCAGAATATGAACAACTTTGAGAACTTTAATTTGTGCCGTAAGTTAACGAAAGGAAAGGTTCTCCCTTGGTCCCTGCCGGAGGCCAAAAGAAAAAACTACTAGTAAATGAAAATGTTTTTTCAAGGGTTCCCCCCCTTGGCGGAAAAAAAAAAGTCCAACGAAATTAAAAAGGGGGACTCCAAACAACCAAAAGGTTTCCATGAACTAGGTTCCCCCCCCCCCAAAAGACAAACCTTTGGGTCCAGGCCCCCTATATATCAAAGGTAAAAAACGGGGGTTTGCCCAAGGACATTGGTCCCGACGTTATGTTTTATTATAGTTTTTCAATTACTCGGGGGTTGGGTAAATGAAAAAAAAAATGCCCCAGGAAAAAACTTTCCCCCGGAAATGTTTAAGGTTTAAACCTTAAGTTGTCTAAGATAAAAAACCCACTTCACGCCCCAAATGGCTTTTTAAAAAGTTAACAAATAAACACTGAAATGCGGGGGGACCGGGGGGATTTTGATTTTTTTAAAAAAGGTTTCCCATAAAGCTAGAAATCCCTGATGGGTTTTAAAAGCATGGAACCCCCATTTCCATGCACGAAAAAACCCATTTTTGATTAAGGGAATGAAAATGAAATGGGTGAATAATTAGAGACACAACTGATCAAAGTTACAAATATTTTAAACATTTTTTTTCTTTTTTAAAATGCCTTTTTTTTCTTAAATTTACTGTAATAAAAAAATGGATTTTGAAAAACATTTTGGCTGAAAATTTAAAAAAAAAAAGTTTTTGAAAAAAAAATATTGAAAAAAAATTTCCCGGATTTTTTTGATGGTTTTTGAATGCCCTTCGAAACGTTCATATTTAATGTCCCGTTTTAATATTTAAATTTAATTGGTGTCCGTTTCATGTAATTGTTCCTTCCAAAATAAGGGGCCGATAAAGGGGAAAAACATTAAAAGACCAAAAACAAATTTTAAAAATGGGCGTTTTGCAAGACATTCAACCCCGTATGGGGTATGAACGATAGCAAAAGTTGGAAGAAACAAGCCAAATCCCAGAAAAAAACCCCCAGTCCCGACCAACTCTTTTTCCACTATCGGGTAAATTTCTTTGAGGTTTGTTTCATGTTTCTTCAATGTCCCTTTTTTATTTATCTGAACCAACCGAAGATTTTCTAGATTAATGGGGTTTTTGGTCCAAAAAACAAAGACGAAAAAGCTACAATTTTATTTTCGAAACTGGGACCGATTCCGTTCGTCCCCCCTTTTCGTGAAAATAGTAAATATTACATATAAAAAAGCAATTTTAGGGTTTTTCAAAATTTGAGATACAGGCCCCCCCCTAAAGGGTCCAGAAGGCCAAGCATCTACTGTTCAACTTTTACCATTTTTAAAAACCCCTCCCCAACCTCTTTTTCATTCTGGAGTACATGGAAAGGGGGGGTTTTAAATGTTAATTTAAAGGGTGTTTTAAATGTTTAAATTGATTAATCCAGACTGAACCTCCTTCCGACCAGCCCAAAAGGGGGAAATTCCACGTTTTATCATGAGAAATTTTTTTCCTGGAAAAATCCCCCAAACAAAATCTGATCCTTTACTTTTTTCCCCGTATCAGGTCTTTCGTGACCCACCCCTGGGAATTGGGAAGTACCCGTTTTTTCCTCCAGAGAAAATTTCCCATATAACCTCCCCCTGATTTTTTATCTTGGGGAGAGGGGCCATTTAAAAAATGGTGGTGGTGGGATCTTAAGTTAAGCCCTTTTTTCAGCAAGGGGAAAATTTTCCTGGAGCTTTTTAAATTTCTTTGAACATTGGAAAAATTTGAGAATGGAAACATTGTAATTGGGGGAGATTGCAAGATTAATGTTTAAAACAAAATTGAAAAAACTCTCGATGTCCCGTTTTTTTTTGTAATGTTTAAATTATGGACAAATTACAGTGGACGTTTCCCTTCCCCGCAATATTTAATTTTTTGTCTAATTCCGGGAAACAGATTTGGGGCCCTTTGCTAAAAAATCCCCTTCCCATTGCCTTTTCTCTATCCTTCCTTCAGGGACCATTGTTAAAAACCCTTGAAAAGGCCGCCCCTTGAAGGACAAGCTTCTCTCCAACCTATGGGGAAAAAGAAAGAACTTTTAGAAACCCTTTGGATAACTTTATCGGAAAAAAAGGGAAGAGGAAAGGGGGGGGGGTTAGGGTGGGGGAAATCCAACAAAGCGACATTATTAATTATTTTCCTTAACTTCGAAGTAAATGTTTTTGTGAATCAATGATAATTCCAGTTTTAGGGCAAATGGTTTTCCGGGTTCCCTAGTTATAAATTTAAAAAAAGTGTACCTGGTGAGCTTTTTTTTTTGATTTAAAGATTTTCAATTGATTGACGACTGACAACTTTAAATCGTTGACACTCATTACATCTGATATCTGGAATGAAGAGGACTTTACTATGTGGGGTCATCAAAATATAAAAGCCAGAGGTTCGATAAATGGAAAGAAATTCTACCGATGGATTATTCAAGTGCCATTCTATTTCTAAATAATAAAAGCTAAACTATTGCAGGAAACTAATAATAAATAAGGTTGTTAACCTTTTCTCTAACATCTAACAGCTTCTGATCGTACTCCAGACCAAGGTGACCAAAACATCGTAGCCAGTTAATTCTGATCCTTGAGGACAGCGTCCACGGACACAGTAGACAGTCCGGGCTTAATGTTGTTCACAATCACCTGGGTTCTCATCACCTGGGATATTGGTTACCTGAACCTTTCTTTAGAATGTGGGTCACGTTATTAATTGTGGCAGAAAAAAAGTGTGGTCTTTTTAATGAATGCAAAAATATAATTATATAAGTGGACACTATTAAATTTTAAACATACTATAAAAATAAGAAAATTAAAGAAAAGTTTTTTTTTAACATATTCGTCCCCGAACATGAAATTTTTCAGGAAAAAAGGGGCCCAATTTTTCAGCAGCGATCACCAATCTAAAACTTAGTTGCGGGATTCCAAAAAACCTTGTAAGAGCTCCCTAAAAAAATATTTAAAAATATTGGTTTTGGGTCCACCTGAACTGTCCCCCAGAGGAAACCCGATATCCCACCAGGAAGCCCGAATCTAATCTCCTCAAATTAATCCCCCCATTTTTCCCTTTTGCATACTCTTTCGCTGTAAGTGGTTTTTGTCGACAGCCTGAAAAAGGTTTGTGTTTGGGTCCAAAAATTGAAGGATTTTGTTTATTTACACACCGGAGCCCCTATATATTTTAAAAAACCAAGGCCCCCCCCCCGATTTTCCCGCGATCCGCGATCAATCACCTTGATTCTATTCAAATTATAATCCGAAAGGTTCCACAGAAAAGGTCCGAAAAAGTTCCGAAAGTTCCGTCCGCATGTCAAAATGTAGAATGCAGCGCATTTTATGGTGTGTGTGTGTGTGGGTGTGTGTGTGCCTTGAAGAAATGACAAACAACCTCATTCGTAAAGTAGTCAAGTGTAAAAATATGAAATATAATATTTGTACTAAATCTGAAAAAACTCCATAAAAAGCATCAACTTAAAACAGTTGGAAAATATAAAAACTATCCTATGTCTACAGTTACGACAACCTATCTGCAACTGCAGGACTCGACCACCATGTCTTCGTATACAGTAAGATGGAAGTCCCGTCCAACAGCTATGAGTACAGTAAGAGGTTTAGTTTGGTCTGATACACAGGAAGCTCCCTGTACCTCTCCTCCGACTCCGCTGTAGTACAGAATGTTCTGGATGAAGGCGTGGTTTGTCATTGGGGTCTCCTCGTGGTCAAGGTGGCACTCTCCTGAGCAGATGTGAGCATTGAACTCCATTGGAGCTACCACTGAGTTGATGCCTATCTTATTAAAGTTGACCATCAGGTCCTGAACCTTACAGTGGGGAGATGCAGATCTTCGTTCCAAGTGGTGGGTCTCACCAAACATCTGTAGGAAGTGTCTTCTAGCGATCTTAGCTGAGGGTTCAAGGATCTCCTGGTTATTGTAAAGGAGGGTGAGATGAGGTTTCTCTTTTAGGTTTATTACTTTGTTAATTGGTAGGGTTGAAGTTACTTCTATACCATGGGAACTCAGGAGAGTCCGCTCAGCTCTGATCACATTATCGAGAGTTTGTAGCGAGGAAACAAGCTTGTGTTAATCTTCAGAGGCAGAGCTATAGGTTTTTAATGATCGTGAGGAGACATTTGAACTTCTGCTCTGTTCCCAAAACCGTAATTACAAGAGTAGAAATTTTCTGTTGTGGTTTGAGGTAAACTTTCAGTTCTACGTCTTTAAGAGTCCCCATGCTGATGACTGTCTTCGGGAAGGTGTAGGACAGGACTAATCTTGTGTTTGGAAATCATCGTGGAAGTAGCTTTGGTGCTAACTATTCGGTTGGATCCTGAGTTAGGGTTATTGAGTAGCTCTTGAAGGTGTTTAGGAACTTTGGGATTGGTTGGAGTGTTTTGAGAGAGTGGTGGTCGAACCCCGAACCCTCTCTCCGATGTTTCACTGACCTCATTGCAGATTGTCGAGGACAAGAGAATAGCGAATGTGAAAACTGATAGTAACATCGTGGTTGATAGAAAGTGATTGCGAACTGAAGAGGTTTAAGAGAAACTGATATATTCTGAACTGAGATTCATACTTTTATATAAAATATGAATTCGTCGCAGAACTACAAAGCTAGTTAGCTCGTCTGGCGCTGCGAGCAATTATTTGTTACTCTCTGTCTAGCATTCATCTCAGATCTACTGACTAGAAAACGAGCGTCTCACCAAGTGATCACGTTACCGTGACCAGATTCAAATACCTCCCGTCATCTGATCTGGAGGTCACTGTCAGCTGAACAAGGCAGATGAAGAGCTGGCGACACGGGATGGCAAGCAATCACGTGACTGGATCAGCTGACAGGATGGACAGGTACTTTCAGCTTGTTGGGATGGTAGGAACTAATCATGTGACGTACATACGTATGTTCAGATTATAACAGATGGTTGATAGTCTGCAGCCATAATCATGACATTTAAACCGCAGGTAACCGCTATTAAGGAACACTGTTATGTAACACTGTTATGTAGCACTGTTATGTAGCACTGTTATATAGCACTGTTATGTAGCACTGTTATGTAGCACTGTTATGTAGTACTGTTATGTAGCACTGTTATGTAACACTGTTATGTAGCACTGTTATGTAGTACTGTTATGTAGCACTGTTATGTAGTACTGTTATGTAGCACTGTTATATAGCACTGTTATAAACACTGTTATGTAGCAGCCAGGCTGACTATCTGTCGTATATTATTATAAGTAGTAATAGTATTATCTGTCTATCATTATGAAACGTTATTAACACCTGATTTAACTTTTGGAAACTTACCATATCACCTAGAGCCACTAGTGTGTCTACAATCATTTTGTTGTGTTGTTTCATTCGTATCTGACAGTTGCTACTCGCCTCGATAAGATCATGCTGAACAAAATAAGTTGATAAAATACACCGGACTTCGTGAATTTAAGTATCTAATAACATCGACTATAAGTAAATCCACAAGTTGCTACTTCTGAAACACAAACTTTAGTTGTGTTTACTATTTAAAGTCAAGCCCAAAATGTCGGCAGTCAGCTTGCACTGATGTCACGTGATGATTCAGTCTAATAATACACATATTGTCATGTGATCCTATCAACCCATTGTTTTAGCCGCAACCTATAGTCAGTTAATAACAACATGGCAGTCCGACGAACCGTGCAAAGTCCGTTAACTCACTTTAAGGATTGTTCTGAGTAGGGTTAGGAGCGCTGTCAGAAAGTTGTGTGATACGATCTTGTTGTGCTGGTTTCTCAGATAATCCTGAAATAACGAGAGTTTACTTTAAAACTTGACAAGTTCGCCACTGATCCTCTATTTATTCAGCTGTGGTGATTTGGTGAGTTATCTAAAAACATTTTCTGCTAAAGCACACTACGGTGGAGGGTAGTACGGGGGAGGAAACTAGGGCGGAGGACAGTACGATGGGAAAGAAAGACACTTGCAGCGGTCCACTCTACCCAATTGTGGGTTTTGGTAAATTTTATATCAACAATATGATACACGACTTTGGGCCATTTCTCAGTCCCTGGAAAAGCAGTTCTACTTTTCTCAGAAAATATTATTTAATCTCCCACGCTTTCAGTAGAGCAAGTGTGATTTAAGTTTTCAGCTCAACAAGTAGACACGAGTTGGCTAGTTCAGGAGTAGCACCGTACAGCTGTGTTGTGCATTACGAGATAAGCACACAAATATTACCGGAGTATGTTATCTACCTGTCGAAATATGTTCGATAATTGAGTTGTGAGAGAAACATCTTTAGAACGTGTCAGGACCATGGAATTACTTATTAGTGATAGATGTGGTGATTCTCATATACTGTAAGTGTACATAGTCTCAATTAAAGACCACAATGATACTTAAGACAACTGGAAATTTTTAGACTTGATACATAGTAATATAAGGTAGTTCTGTCCTTTGTAATTTGAGCGTACCAATGAAAATTACTGGACTTGCGATAAAAACCTTGTGACAAGCATATTATGACGATAATATAATTTGTGATATCAGTGGTGAGTGGTTTGGAGCTGTTTTGTTATAAATAATTTTAGTTCTTTACAATTCTGTATTTTTGATTAATTTTTCAGTCCCTTAATTGTTAGCTCGGAAGTTTTATAAAATAATGTCATTCTCTGATGCAATCTTCTCATCTAAAGGCATGATGTGTATTAATTATATGTACAAAGAATTATTTTACCAACAAACCTCTTAGGTGCACCGATCACGTGTACATTTACTCACCCATATTCAGTAAATATTGTTATCTGAAATTAAATCACTTCCCAGCTGGTAGCACTAGCAAAAGAACAGGATGGCCTCCCCAATACCTTGCATTCAAGTACCAATGAACTTTGGGTTGGAATATCTCGGCTCCCCCTCCCACGGCAACCTCAAGTTTATTCTACAGGACGAGGAACTTCTCGCTAACTCAGCAATCATGTCCTACAACAGTCCGGTTATAAAGAAAATGACAGTAGAACTTTTCCAAACAGAAATACCAGTTGAGGACTTCTCGAAATATGCTGTAGAGTGCTTTCTAGAAGCCTCTTATTCTGGTGTTTTAGAGAAGTTGTCAAAGTTAAATTTTCGAGATCTGAATAAAATGGCCTGCGTGTTTGAGGTGGATTGGGTAATCGAAAAGTGCTTTGAGTACTTCCAGGAATTGACTGAGTCCGTAAGAGAGGATAACTTTGAAGAACAGTTATTCTTATTTGATGAGGCCATGTTCGTTATGGATAAACGAAAAAAGAAGAGGCTTATAGATATTGTCATCAAGCAATTTTCATCCTTGTCAACTTGCACACAATATTTTGCAACCCAATACTTGAAAGACGTGTCATCTTGTCCTAAAAAGAATCTTGAAGTGATAATGGAAATGGCAGCTGATCAGGAGCACATTCTTGTGGAAGCTCTATTGAACAACTTAGAAAACAATGAATGTACTATTGATGAGAACAGTAGATTTATAATTGAGAGATTGAACTTTAAATCCTCCCTTTCTTCGTCCGAGTCTGCGTATAAACGACTGTTTGAAAAGCTTGAAGAACTGGAAAATCCTTCAACTGAGGACTTCAGGTTAATTATGAGGGCACTAAAACAATACAATAAAGCCCGGAAAGAGATGAACACTTCCCTCTTATGCACAGCTTTACCCAACAATAAAGCCCAGAAAAAGATGAACACTGTCATACCATATGCAGCTCTACCCAACTTGTTTCATGACTTCAAGCAGGTGAACGACATGAAGAATCTGGAAGCACTAACAAACTTCTTGCTTGATTCTCCACTGGTGGTAAACAGCTATGTTTTCTATGATGCAGTTTATAGCTGGCTTTTTAACAAAAGAATTGATGTGAATACGCCGTTTGTATACATCAGCGACAACTTTGTTGAGATATTCTCTGATCTCATGACAAGCAGAGGCTGGAAACCTATAGATCTCAAATACATCAAAAATAAAGTTGAATCAGCTTTTGGTGGATTAACTGATAAAATACGAAAACATCCTAATTTGGTAAATAATGAACCCATCAATCGTATTCCATCAACTTCTGAGTACACACCAGAAGAACTATTTGCCCGAGATCACGACATCAAGTTTAAATTCAAACTAACATCTATAACAAACTGCAGCAAAGAAGGGAATTGTGGGTTTATACTGCGAGTAACAGCTGCAACGGGAAAAGACGATGATTCGTTCAACATACAACTAGTTACAGATCCTAACCTCTACCCTGATGATATACATTTTCACAGAGAATCCCACATGTTAGTTGATAACTTACACTTTACTATTGATGTAACTGGCTATAGGGGTCTAAACGCCCGTCCGGTAACATGGTACGGTAAACCACAACGAGATATAACTAACAAATACTGGTACTGGGGGACAGAACGTTTCTACAAGCAAGGTGAAGGAAGTAGACCACCGGGAGATATCTACAGCTGGTGCTACCTTCACGATAACACCGCAAAGATAAGACCTGTCGTGTATTACACAGGGTAACTTAGATCAGCAGATACAAAACAGTAATCTGCAGAACATGAAATAATCAATAGCTGATGTGTTTATGAAAACTCAAAACGTAGTAATCATTCATTCCAGGAACTGATTGCTTACTTGATTATGAGATTTTAGATCTTATATTTAAATTTAATCGAAAGGTTTTATTTAAAATATTATAGTTATACTTCTTTCAATCTCAACCCTATGAGTAATTTTTTTCGAAATGTTATGTGTACTTTGAAAAACCTTATGCATACTCTTTATTTAAAATCTTATCTTACTTTTAATTAGAAATCATATGCAGAATTACATTTAGTGGTCATTATTTTAGCAATTTTGAAAACCTTTCCAAAAAAACGGGTAAAAACTCATTATCACTGATCATGGTATCCATTTAGACAAGCAACTGAAAATAGTAGCTTTTAAAAAGTCACAACTAACCTAAAGTTTATAGTTAAGGAATTATAGTTTGGCTAAGATTAGCCGATTAGGATGAACGAGAAGAAAGATGGCACCTGAATTTATAAGTATGTACGAAACTTTCAGGAAAATTAAGTTTGACCCATATCTACATTCTCTGAAATTGTTGTGCAATTCTGGCACGAATTACGTAAGTTATTAAAGGGTTGCGTGTGGGCAGCGACTTTTGGGCCACCCTGTTATGTATATACCTGAATCTTAGAGGTCTTGTTGCTGAGCCTGCCGATGAACTGCACAGCCAGTCTCATGTGGGGAGTCGCAGTGTCTATATCGATGATGGGTCTGGCAGCACTCAGCATCACGTTACGCGCCATGTTGAACTGAATATATCCTGCAATGTGGGGAATCATCACAACAAATATATGGACCATTCCAGGTAACGTAATTATCAAAAGTGTCTACTTTTTCGACTTCAATGGGAAATAGCTGTCAGTATTGTATATCGCCTCTTCAGTACTTATTTTAGTAAGCCTTTCTTTAGATAGTTAGATGCAATTGGTTTCAATGTAACATCAATAATATGTTTTGAGATATCACCATCGGAAATTGGTATTTGGTAACGTAATTTACAGGGCTACATTTCGAGTTTACAATTAATTAAAATGTCAAGTTCAGTTCAAAGAGGGACCATAAACAATAAACGTGTAACACATCATGCAGGAATGCCTGTAAATGAAGTACAAAAACATTTGTGTTTTAGTTCTGTATTTGGTGTGCCTGATTGTGTTGCAACGTAATTCACAAAACCCGGTAAAGTAATTTGACCAAAACCCATAATCATGGGTAGAGTGAACCGCTGCCAGTGTCTCTCTTTTCCAAACAAAAGAAAATGATATTAATTTGAGGAACCGTCCGCAAATGCAAATTGATACCGAGAATGAAATCGGTCGCTCGCTTTTCCCATTCAATAAGCTTTATTAGTTATTACAATTCGTAAGCCGTGAATGAATGGGAAAAGCTTAGTTGTAGTGAACAGTGGATTTTGTCGGTTTGTTCACAGAGACAACAATGGAGTCAGTATAAAGTTAGATCCGCCTCGCCTTCGTAGCTATGAAGTAGGTCAATGAGACCAATGACACATACACGTTATATTAGACACGTTCGTCGTACACGTTATATTAGAGAATATATCAGCTCACACCCAGTGGTCGACCGGGGGCAGGATTCTGACCGGGGCCGGGGAGCCCCAATGTAGCCGGGGCCAGGGCCGGGGCTGGCCACTGAGAATTGGCCGGGAAATCTTCCGTTTTGCCGGGGCCGGGGCCGGGGGTAGTTTACCAAACTTTAGTCAGAAATAGAAACATGAATTTGATAATAATTTAGGCTGGTGTGATGCGATCAGGAAGGATTAAACTCGAGGTGCGGCTTATCCTAACCGACTTGAGGATTAAACGGTTACTTCGTGCTATGTACCAACTCAGGATAATCCTCAGGTCATACTTAATATCATCAACTCGGAACTGAGGATAACCCTCAGGATAACCCTCAGCTGATACTTTATCTGGACCTCGGTAGTAATCCCCACATCCAAATATGGCCCGGTTCACAAAAATTTACCATAAAATTCAAGACTTTCTTTCATGTTTGCACACTGCAACATTTAGCTGCAATGCAGTATTTTTACTTTTTAGTTTCTACGTATGTTTTATCGCTAAGTTCTCGGAGACGATTATAAAAAAATTATAATTGAAAAGTCTGATACTGAGGAAGAACCACAGTTTTTATGTTACTAGCCGTAGTAACTTTTTTTTTCAAAGTTGTTTCAGCCTTGAAATCTCATAATTACCATTCATGAAATCCCCGGCTGTGCCCCCGGTAAATGCATGGTTTTTGGCCGGGGCCGGGGGTAAATTTATTGTCCGGGGTCGGGGCCGGGGTTTACCCCCGGCGAATTCCCAAATTTTGGCCGGGGCCGGGAAGGGCCGGGGGTTGTGATTTTGGCCGGGGCCGGGGCCCCGGTCGACCACTGCTCACACCCCTCCCCAAAATGTGAAATGAGTTGTCAGAAGAAGATAAATTTGATAATTACCTGATTTTACATATCTTCGAATATAGCTTTCGACTAACGGATTTCTAGTATGTGATCAACTATAAACAATTTAGTTGATTTTAACCAGCCGAGAAGATTATGCTTATCTTGCACATCGTGGCTTATTTGAACAATTAATAGACCGATCGTATAAATGATGAAGCTATATATAATTTAGTCGTCTCTTAACAACTATAAACACAAATTTATCCAATACAATAACATTTTTTAACTAGCAGTGTATTCTATAACAAAGTTCCTAAGTCTCGCCATCGCTTCAGTGAGGAATCCTTCAGGAATGGAGTATATAAGTCTGAAGAAAGCAGGGTCTGTTCCATTAAAACCTTTAGAAGACGGAATGTAGATGCCACTGTCTATCATCTGATAGAATATCTCTGCTGCCTCCTCTGGGCTAGGAGTCTCTCTAAACAGTGGTGTGAAGTCCATCCACAGATACAGGGTACCTGAAGTATTACTAGATTAAATGCAGGGTCCCATTAAACAACTCCTCCTAGTTAATGAGTTTTAAAAACCGCAACATGTTATAATAATCCTTGGTCGGTTGATTCAACCGTTAAACAAAATATTGTTTGGATCTACACTGGTTAACCTGTAGGTTTCACGTAGGACAAGTTGAGTTGGTCCAGTGTTGTCATGACAATGTCAGCATGTCTCATCAGTCTAACTCTGCTCTCCCTCAAGTACTCATCCACCCACTGAACGTCTCTCAGCATCCTACACAGCTTCATCTGTACCATCCCCGGCACGTTGTGATAGAATGCTATGTCTTTGCCGAACGCTTGGTGAACTCCTTTGTTCTTGGAGTGGATTACAGCGGACCTGGATCCTGGAGGTTGTTGTTAAGCAGGAGATAAACTTGGTTTTTATTTATTTGACTATATCAAGCTGCATCTTGATCTAGTCAGCCTAGTGACTAGTACAGTAAAATGGGAAGTACAGTAAAGTGAGTGGCCAGTTAGCCAGTATCTACCTGACATGGAGAAGTCTTTAGAGAATCCCCACATAAAGTGTGTTCTAGCTGGGTCGGGCCACTCTCTGCTGAAGGAGAGACAACTCTGCAAGTTGTCCTCCTCAAATGTACTCAGGAAATATATTTCGTCTATAATTACATGTAATTTCCGCTCTTTCGCAAACTCAAACACCTGGAATCCGAATATATAAGATTCTGACTTCTTATCGTAATTTAATGATATTTAAACTATGCCTCTCTAATTTAACCTCACGATTGGACGAATTCTAGGAGTAAAATCTCCCATTTGTAATTCGAGGTGTTTAGTTAAGAAGAGATAAAGCAGCTAACATACCTCTAGTTGGAGTTCTTTACTATAAATAGCTCCAGTAGGGTTGCTAGGGTTAATCAACACCACACCACACACTCTCTTTCCCTCTTCAACTGCTCTCTCCCAGGCCTCCGCAAGCAATCTAACACTGACCATGTCGTTTGAATCTGTCTCCACTCCTATGGGTTTCAGCTGCATGTAGTTACCCATGTATACTTTCGTCATGCCATAATAAGGGGTCGGTATCAGATAGTAATCACCTGGAGGGGGTTGTTTAAAACATGTGATACGAAATGCTTATTAAGCAGGAGCTTTCAAAATACTTGTGTAAATCGTCTTCAGCTAGTAATCACCTGGTTCCCCAATCATGTAAGCAAGCGAACAGAACGCGGAGCTGCAACCGTTAGTTATAGACAGCTCCTCAGGATCTATCTGCTGATCACTCTTGGTTTTATCCGTGAGGAATCTGGCCACCTCCTCCCTCAGCGGCAACATACCGTTCAGACAAAAGTAGCGCAGTTCGGGTGGAGTTATCTCCGTGAGAGACTCTAGTTTGGGGATTACCAGGTCGTCACAGATTGTGTTCTCTGAGGTTCCCATGTTGATAATACCGGATGTGTTCTCTGTGGGATGGTAAGGGTCTGCTGTGCATCTCAGATAGCCTTCATACAGAAGTGTGGGCTTTACCTTGTTGTTTTCTTGACAGCGAACACTTAACTCGTTCATCACGTATCTAAATTTAATGACAGTAAATTTGCGAATGTTGAAAAATAGGCAGATAAAACCCCAACATTGTAAAGCTTGTGTGATTTATCACTGAAGACGGCGAGGGAAACTGTGGAAACGGTGAACGGTCCCGCTGAAAATTGTACGAAACTCGGAAAATAAAATTGTTTCAATTTTCCAGATTTCATAGATGATAGAAAATAGTAAAATCATTTTTGACAACGTTAAATCATGTTAAATCTAAGCGATTTCAATAAACATTATAACTTCAAATTGAGCAACATGAGATCGCGAATTTACCAGGACAGTCAACAAGGATCGACATAAGATAAACTTGTAAATATATAAATACATCAGCCAAGAAAGACAGCTTCAAACACGTACTACTACCTACTAGGAAGTTGATATGACTTATTTGATTTGGAAATGTTATGGAAAAACTACTTAACGTTTTCCATTTTAACACCTAGCGAAAAGCATGATAAGGCTGTGTTTTTAGATTTGAGATTGGACACGAAACACTAGCGTAGCAGATTTAAGTAACTGTGCGATTGGGGGTTCCGGTTACACAAATGAAACTGGCTCTGAAGGACGTGACGAGTAATGTCCCCAGCCCTAAAAAATTATATCAATTGGCAGGGATAACATCTGATTGTAGATCTTCTTCTGAAAACCCCTATTTGGTAAAAAATTTGGGAAAATCCTGAAAACGCGCCACAAACCCGCCCGGAAAAAAATCTTGCAAAAGGGGATTAAAATTTCCCCGAAGAGGGGAGTATGTTTTCCCCTTTTTTTTGGACAAGAAATAAATTTAAAAAATGGAACCCCCCCCTGATGGGAAAATTCTTTTTGTCCCAACGTTTTTGGGGAAAAAGACCCCCCCCCCCCCCGCGGGCAACGAAAAATTTGGGCCCCCGGGCCCCCCCCCTGGGTTTTGTCAGGACGACTGGTTTTGGGGGTCCCCAACGTAAAAAAAGAAAAATTTTTCCTCGGAAAAAGAAAAATTAAAAGGAAAAAAACCCCAGAAAAAACCCGCAGAAAAGAAAACCACCCTCTGCCCTCACTATCCTACCCCCGGAAAAAAAACGAAAAAACGAGGGGGCATTAAAGAAACTTTTCCCCCCCGCCACGGGGCCCCGAAGAAGTTGGCCCCCAAATTTGGGCCCGGGGGAAAAAACAGAAAAATTCCGTGTGAGAATATAGACAACCTGCTACGGAAAAAATTGGGGCAATGGCTTACAGCCCCCCCCCGCGTGTTAAACTTTAACTGCTAATAATAGCAGGGATTTGGATCCTTTTTTTAAAAAAATTGAAAAATGATTGGGGGGTTTATTAAAAATATTTTTAAAAAATTTTACCTTAAATTTTTTGTCATTGCCAAAATGGGGGGCGGAGGTGGAAAATTGGGGGTTTATTTTCCCCGTAAAAACAATTTTTAAAACAAAAGGAAAAATTTTTCCACGAAGTTTAAAATTTTGGGGGTTTTTCCCCTCCATTAAAAACAAAATTGTTTCAAAAGTGAAGAATTGGGGAAATTAAATATCCCCAAAAATTTAATTATTTCCCGTTTTTTAATATCTGGGTTTTTTTTTTATTTTAAAAAAAAAAACTAAAAAAAAACCCCCAAAAAAACCAAAACCCCACGAATTTCTCGTTTTCCCCAAAAAAAACCCCCCCCCAACAAAATCAGGAAACTAAAAAAAACCTTAAACCCCATTCGGCCCTATTTTTCCCCTTTCCCGGGAAAAACCAAAAAAAATTGAGGAAAAACCCCCTGTTTTTTTTTTTAAATTTACGATAAAACCAAAAAGCGTACTTAACAACCCCCCCGTAAGTGCCAAATATGCCCCCCTTGTTTTCACAGAAAAACAGCACGTGCCCCCCCACGAAGGACAATATTTTACGAAAGTAAAAACCCCCGGAAAAAAAGGACCCATTGCGAAAACCTTGAAACCCAAAAATACAAATCAGGGGACAAAAGGAAAAATTGAGGCCCCATGGGGGGGCGGGGAAACGGGGATTTTTCCCCATTAATTTTTTGCGACAAAAATTTTTTTGTATATTCCCCCCCGTTTTAAAAAAAGGGTTTAATCCCGGGGGGATTTTTTGGGGGGGAAAATAACGCGATTTTTTTTCTTTTTGTTCCCCCCCCCCTTGCCCAAAAAATGGCGAAAAATGCAGAACGCCCAAAAAATGAACCCCGACCCCAGTGAATCCTGGGGAAACCTTTTTAAAAAATCCCCGTGGGCCCCCCGAAAAAAAGGGGGTAAGCTTTTAGGTCAAAAAAACCGCCAAAGAAAACACCCCCGGCCGAAAATGGCTTTAAAACCTTACGTTTACAAATCTTAGATAAAAACCCTAAAAAACCCCCAAAGACGTGGCCAAAACCTCAGAGGCGGGGAAAAAAAGAAACCCTCCTTTAAAAAATAACCACAACAGAACAAACCCCCCAAGAAAAAAAAATTCGTTTTTTTTAAAAAAAAAGTCTTTTTTTATTGGGAATTGAGTTTTATTTGCACCCAAGTTTTTTTCCCTCCCCCCTCCTTTTTTGTATTTTGCCTGACCCCCATTAAATTAAAATTTTTACAAAAACCTTTTTCCCCTGTAATTTCAAATTTTCTTTTTTAATTTATCCGGTTTTTTTAGGGTCCCCCTAATATTTTTTCCCCCCTTGCACACCAGTTGTAAAAAATAAAAAAAAAAAAATTTACACCTAACCCCACTTTTAAAACCCCATAGTTTTTTTGTTTCTAGTATTTCCCCTTTTGTTTTAGTTGATTAAATTTGGGGTTAAAGCAGGGTTTGGGGGGGAAAAAAAAGTAAAAAAAATGGCCCCCCAACTTTAAAAAAAGTTAAAAAAAAAAGAAAGACGGGCTTTTTTTTTTTTTTTTTTTTTTTTCAAAAAACGTTTCCCCAAAAAAAAAAAAGAGAAAAAAAAAGTTGCATAACCCCAATTTAAGCCCCCACCCCCCCCGTGAAAATTCCCCAAAAAGTTTCGGGGGAAAAACCAATCAAACTTGCCCCCGTTGTTGTTTGGTTTTTGGGAAAACTCCCTTTTCCCTTTTTTTAAGTTGCGTTTAAAAAATGTAAAAAACGAATAAAATTTAAGGGGGTTTCATGGGGAAAAAAAGCCAAAAATTTTTCAAACTTTTCTATCGTAAAGGGCCCCCGAACGGATTTTTCCCCCCCAAAAAATTTTTCCCCTTCGAAGTGGGGGGCCCCCCCGGGGTTTTCCTTTTTTTCGAAATGGAAAAATGCACGAAGAAAAGGGCCGGCCGGGGCCCCCGACCATTAAATATAAAACAATGGTCCCCCCCCAAAGCGTAAGCAAAAAAATGAAGATTTAAAAACCCCCCACCCCCCATACTTTCACTAAAAGAGCAACATTAGAAAATTTTTTAAAAAAGAAAATTTTTTTTTGGGTAATTTTTTCTTTTTTTTTCCCCTTTCTAAAAATAAATAAATAATGGAAAATTTTTCCAAAAAAGCCGGGCCAAAATTTTTTCATTTAAGTTATTTAAAAAAAAATTTTTTTATTTTTTTTTGTGGGTGAAATGTTGTGAACAGTGGCCCCACATGTAGTAAACGCTTTGGGGAAAAAACCAAAAGTAAATAAAAAGCGCTTAGCAAAATCAAAAAGCAAAAAATTTTAAAGCTGGGGACTGGGTTCAAAATTGAAAAAAATTTAATGCGTTTATCAGAAATTTCAAAAACACGGCCCAACCCAAATTAAACACACCCAGAGAGCGGAGGATTTAAAAAGTAAAAAAAAGGGAAAAGTTTAAAAGGGGGCAAAAAGAAGAAAGAAAGGAGAAGCCGACATAGTCCCCCCCCCCCCTTTTGGGGAAATTTTTCCCAAAAAACCCCCTTAAAGGCTTGGGGGGTTTTAAATTTTAAAAGAATCATAAAAAACCCCCCCCGTTATTGATTCCACGATGTCAATCTTTCGCAATCCGGCCCCCATCCTGGGGTTGCCGAAAAAACATTAAATTGGAATTTCGCCGCCCGGGGGACCCAGTAATGCATCGCCCCACAAACCAGGCCCGACAGACCCCCCCCCCCCCTTCTTTTTATAACCGAAGTTTTTTTTGCTGGTGTAAAGGGCCTTCTCACCCCCCCGCACTTAATTTCGGGTGTCCCAAATTCATCTCCCCCGGGGGGGGGGCCAAAAGTGCGCCCAAAACTCCCCCGAACTGGGGAGAAACCCCCCAAATTTTGGGGCGCGGGGGGCGGCCCCATTAAAAAAGGCAGATCCGGGGCCCTCAATTTTTTTTTTTTTAAAGGGGTTTAAAGTAATCAAAAACATTTTTCCCATGGGGGGATGTAACCGTCCTTTTTGGGAAAATTACCACCAAACAAGTAAAATCTAATCCAGGGAAAATTTCCCCAAAAACAGGAAAAAAAAAAAATTTTGGTTTTCTTTTTTTTACAGTTTTGACATGTCCCTTTTGGGGGAAAAAAATCTGGTGGCCCCTGGGGAAAAAAAGTAGTTTTTGGAAAACCCCCCCCCCCCCCCTTCC